CATTTTAAGGTGGGCCAGGGGTGTAGAGGGAGCTATTTGTTTAAGCACCGGATTGGCAAAATAGGAGAGTAAACCAGTCTGCCTTGATCTATGAATTAATGACCGGGACTCTCACGGTATCTGCTGCCCGCAGCTGTTTTATAGAAGGAAACCCTCCTTCACTTCATGATTTGGCTGCAGCATCAGGAGGCAGCGGGACGTACTCGGTAAAGAGCTGTGCCTTTTTACGCACCGCCTTCGCTGTGTTTAACTTAATCAGAACAGTTTAAGAGTGACTGCAGGCTGCTACGTGTTAACCACACACACATTTACACACATCGAACTGCCCGATTACTCCCCCTTTTATTAGTTTTATGAAGGAGATGTCCAGTCAGTCACCAAGACGCATGTGTGTGTATGTGCTCTGCTCAGCTCAGCTATGTGTTCGGTGTGTTTGTGTCTGTCCGACACCGGCATATATGCGGCTGTTCCCAAAATAAATTAGTTTAATCTTAATCTCGATGTAGTGCTAAACTGTCGGGAGTGCACCGGAACGAACGACACTATCATAATATCTTCTGAAAATAAATGCCAGTGTCACACACACACACACACACACACACACACACACACACACACACACACACACACACACACACACACACACACACACACACACAGGCGACCGGACATCTCCTTCATAATGCACCTTCTCCTCGTTTTCCCAGCATTCACTGGATTAAAAAAAAACAACACCGGTTCTTTTTTAAACTTTGTTAATATGTTTTGGATGCATATTGTTCTAGTATTTGTTCAGGCTGTTACATACAATTAGCCTCTGTTGCTACCTGCTGGTGGTGAGTAAATATTAAAATCAGTTAAAATTGACAACCGGTCCGCGATTTTTTTTTAATGTATCTACCGGTCCTTGGCACAATAAAGGTTGGGAACCCCTGCTTTAGTTCACTGAGCCTCTCAGTCTGACAGGAGAGGACTCTCCTCCACCTTGTTGTTGAAAAAGCTCCCTCCTGTGTATCCGTTAGTGTAGCTCGCTAGCACCAGAAGCTAACAACAACGATCTCCGGTACCGGTGCGCTCTCTCTCGGCTCGTTCCACACACACACACACAGAGCCGAGCTTGAATGAAACACAAAGACCCAGACGTAATTGTACTGTACTGTATCATATTATTTTCGAATCAATAATCTTTCAAATTATGATTTCTTTTTTTCTTTTTTTCTTAATAACCATTTTTCCTCCTGGTCTCTCGCGCCCCCCCTTCTTCTTTCGTGTAACGTCAGAGGTCCAACTCGGTGTCGTGTAGCCATGCCCGCATCTCTGGTCCTACGTCGAAGAGGCTGGCCTCCGAGGGTGGTCTATATAAAGGGCAGGTGGTTATTATATGTTCGGCAGTCTGTTCAGGGTCACCGCACTCGCATGCAGCACTGTCTGCCAGGCCCCACTTCTTCATTGATGTTTTGAAGCGACCGACCCCAGTTCGTAGACGGTTTAGTGTGGTCCATTGCCGGCGTGGTAGGTCGTCTCCTCCTATGGCGCCATCTCCTGGGTCCCAGATGTAGCAATGGATGCGCCCCCCCTGTCATGCCTCTGCGCCCCCCAGGAAACACTGATCTAAAGTTTAAAAAAAGTCACAATTCCAGTCGTTTTGCCATTCCTATTTCTTACTTAATTCTAGAAAACTGGACATAAACAATGGTACATATGGTGTTAGCAAACAATAGCTCTAGCTAATGCTATCTGTGCTAACCGTAGCTCTTCGGGGCTCCATAAAAGCATGGGTCGTCGAACATAAATGTAAGGATAAAATAGGCTTGTTTGTTAGAAGTGATCTTTACAATAGATAGGGACACAACGCTTTCAAGCAAAGAACAGAGCGTTAGCAAAAACTTAGCACCCTGCATGGACTCCAGCAACGCCGTTGCCGAGTCCAGGCGTCGTTTTGCCTTGCGCCGTAGAGCCTCCGCTGTATTTTTTCATCCGCAACGAGAGGGAGTAACGTCTGTACCTCGTCAAATGACCACGGCGTGTTTTTGTTGTTGCTGCCATTTCTTTATGGATTTGTTGACGGTAGCTCGTCTGTTTTAAAAATGTTGCTTATGCGACGCTTGGGGACTGTCTCGCGCAACAATTGTGACGATTCTCTCTGACCAATCAGCAGTCGGGAGTGTTTACGTCACTAGTTTAGCATATTTTCAGCTCGGTAGGAACCTCGATTTTGGAGGGCCAGAAAAAAACGTACCCGTGAGCCGGTACTACCCCTAGTGAAAAAGCAAAAAAAAGCGGGCCGGGCCAAACTAAACCGTACTAAACCGTACTAAGTCCTGCAGTGGAAAAGCGCCATAACAGGGCTGGAATAGAGGGGTATGAGGCATGGCTAGAATGGGTGATCTGTTTGGTATTTTGAGCAAAACACTTCATAGACATGTTTTTTATACATTTGTATATATCTGAGACCTATAATATATGCCTAATAATAGTATAATAGGAGACCTTTAAATATAAATGACAGAAACCTGAGACAACTGTAGGTTTAGGTTTCCTGGTTTGATTTGCCACTCCAATATAATTTTTTTACAGCTGAAATTTGGTCATGCTAATAGCTGGAGCACACTGGTGTAAATAATATACAAATGGCTTCATAAGGTTTATTGGATTACTCATGGCCTAACTAGTAACCTCTGATTTCCCTGCTATGACAAGTCAAACATGCTTTTGGAAAGGCCTACAATCATGACTCTACTGACGAAACATGAAAAGAAAAAAACATTTTAAAGGGTCCTCATAGGTGCATATCATACAACTAATGACGCCTGATTCCCATTTGGTTTCCCCTTTACCTTCACAGAGGAGATTTTGACTTGTCAAAGCAGGAAGAGCACAGGTGAAATGAATAACAATAACGATGGCTGAAATCCATTTAGGTTAGCCAGCCAATAACTCTGGTAGTTTGAGTGCTCAGTCACTGACATGGCTCTCTCAGACACTTAATGGAATGGAGCCATTGTTAACGTGGTTATTTACACCTGTGTCTCCTGTGAAAAGGGTCTGTTGTGCATGCTGGCTCTCTGTCCCACTGTAAAGGCTTACCTGTGTACTTGAGTGTAATGTAGCATCGTTAACGTGATTGTTTACACCTGTGCTTTTCCTACGACAAGTCAAAATGTCTGCTGTGAAAATATACAATTTCCTGCAAGCTCTGTTTTGTAAGGCTGGGATCATTTATTTTATTTTGATAATGATGATGATGGTAGCTGGAATGGAAACTAGCTGAGCTGAGTTTAATGATAAGGGATGTGCTTGGCAGACTGACAGGATGTTCAATACAATTTTCTCAATTTTTTCTCCTTTCCTGCACATTAGTTAAAGTCAGGAAAGTAGGAGGAAAAAAGGAAAAGAAAGACAGAAGAATGATATTCAGTGGACCGTCTACTCCATCAGCTGGTATAGAACAGGTGGAGCTATAATGAGTAGGGATGTCCCGATCACCTTTTTTTGCTCCCGATCCGATTCCGATCATTTGATTTTGACAATCTGCCGATACCGATTTTTCCCGATCCGATCTTTATGCAATGCATTAAGAGGAAAAAAAAGGTAACAGATAACGGCTGGTCATCCAACGCGATGAATTCAGCTATCTTGGCTGTTATTTTGTTGGCCTTTTCACTGTTCTGGGGCAGTTTCTCTTTCCTTTTAAAAGTCTCTGAAAGTGTTGGTTGTTTCAGTGCCGTTACCTGTGGCCGCTGTGTACTCGTCGTGTTGTTGTTGGTGGTGTTTGTATTAGATTGGTCATGTTGAACGTAGCTCTGTTCTTTCCACCACGCGGAACCTCCGCCTTGCAAACATTGCATCTGGCTGTTACACTGCCTTCGCTTTCAATTTTATAATACTTCCAAACTCCTGACATTTTCTCTGTCCCGACTCCCGAGGCACCAGCTGAACGTAGCCTCTTGTTAGCTTACTGCTACTATTAGACACTGCGCCCACTGTTGCCAGATTTGAGAGAAATAAGCAACCAGGTCTATGAAAACAAGCCCAAAAGAAGCAACACATACATGATGTTGTGTAATTTTAACCCAAAACTAAGGCCTCAGGATGACTTTAAGACGTGAACATGGTCATTTTTGTTTTGTAACATTAAATAAAATGTATAAAAATATTTTATAAAAAAAAATAAATAAAAAAAAAAAAATTCCGATCCCCGATTTTTTTCTCCCGATCCCCGATCACGTGAAAATCACGTGATCGGCTCCGATCCCCGATCACGTGATCGGATCGGGACATCCCTAATAATGAGATTAGTTATGGCGGTGTACCATCATAAGTGTCCAAGTAAGTCATAACAGTGAGTCAGCACGCACCGTCCCATGACCCTGCAGCTAGTCTAACGGAAATCGTTTATTAATGTTAAAAAATAACACGTGTTTTCCCTTCCTTTGATTATTTGTCTGCATTAAAAAATCTTTGGGTCAAGTTGAAAGACTTCCTACAGAGCAGCAGCGAGGGGGATAACAGGGGTAGAGAGGGACAGAACAACCCCCACACGCAGGCGCACACACACACACTGTACGCGCACGCTGAACTGACATGCCACCATATCCTAGTTACAAGTTTGTTCTCAGTCAGTGGAGAAATGCTAGACTTTAGACTATTGATCTAATCTGCCGTTTGTACTTTTCAGTCTGGCCCAGGAAATGTGCAGTACTGTTAAATTGGAACAGTGAGCTGAAATCCCGCTGAAATCCTGATGTTTGTTGGCCCAAAAAGTATTCCAAATTAAATACAAACAACTCATGCAATGTATTAGATTGTCCAACAAATCTGTATCTATCAAATGTCACTGTTATTTTTATTATTTTTATTTCATTCCCAAAGTCTTCAGCTAACTGTCAGTGCTGCTGTCTAAGTGCTATGGCATGTCTGCATTCATGTTTGTGTCTCTGTGTTCATACTGTCAAATGAGTGTATGTACACTCATGTATGTGTTGTGTGTGTGTTTGCAGCGAACAGGGGACTCTCTCTGACCTGTGTGTTGACGCCCTGCCGTGTCATTGGGGTGTGTATGACCCTGATGACCTTGGGAGCCGTCGGAGCCGCCGTCTGGGCCGTAGGTCAGACTGCATGCTGATGCCAATAATCTGTTACTCTTTAATTTAAAGTTCTCAATCAAAAGTCTCAGGAACATTCTTTTTTCTTCTTCTTACTTTCAATCACATGGCTGCTGTTTTTTATCACCGTTCTGTAGTTTCGTATTGTACAATGGAGGAAGACTCCGGGCTGTATGATGGTGAGTAGGTGGGAGATTGTTTTCAATTCATGGATGTTTTATTATTATTCTTATACTTTATTATAGGTACAGCTATGATAAAGACCACATTTCACCTGTAGTCATTTTTTCTAATGCAGGGATGTAATATTAAGAAGCAAATAACATATTTACGCCTGGACAAGGTAACAATGTTGTTGCTTGAGTGAAGACACAAATATATTTGATGATTTCATACGTTTATGAATGTTGATGCAGATTCACGCTTAGCTGCAGTTTCATTATTTTTTTATGTGTATTATACATGTTTTTACATCTTATAAAAGAGGTTTTACAGTAGATGAAACTGAAGTAGCTTCACTGCCAGTAACAACAGGTTCAACACTGAGGTTAAATGGACAAACGAGTAAGAAAGGTGATGTTTATGTTCTTTGAAATGGCAAATGTTGCTTTAAAGGGGCAGAATATAAGTCAGAAAACGTATCTTGGGGGTTATAACAATTGCAGAAATGATCATCACAGGGAGAAAATAAATAATAAATATATGCCGGGTTAGCAGGAGTGTGCGCTATTGTTTAAAGCTTGTTTTTGAATAACCCTGTCTTGTTCCCTACAGTCCAGGTGACTTCTCTGGACCAACGTCTCAGAGTCTTTGACCCCGCCCACAAGAGGTGGCGACAGGTGTGTTCCTCCTCAGCCAATGAGCTGCTAGCTAGCATCAGCTGTGAAGAAGTGGGCTTTGTCAGGTGAGATATCTTTACAATGTTATCACAAATAGTGTTTTAATGCGGTATAATGTAAACAGGACTGATGTGTGTGCGTGTGTGTGTGTGCGTGTGTGTGTGTGTGTGTGTGTGTGTGTGTGTGTGTGTGTGTGTGTTTGTCTCAGTATGGTGAATTACTCGGTCACATCGGTGCCGGAGGCCAGCGGAGACGGCGGGGAGTTCTTCTGTGTCCGAGAGCAAGAGCTCAGCTACGGCAAGAAAATCGAAGACTCATTGTTCCCATGGTAACAGACACCTGTCTGTTTGACCCTGCACCTGTCTCACCTTCTACCACACTCCCCTCTCTGTTGCTCCTTCTTCCTTCTCTCTCACTCAACTACTTGGTTGACATAGAGGAAGCTGACTGATTTTTCAGTTCCCTTTTTTCTGTCTGGCTCTTACTCACTGTGTCTGTCTTTTTTTCAGTGACTGTGAGAGCAGGGAGGTTCTCACACTTCTGTGTCAAGGTAAGTTCAGAGCTCAGGGGCCTCATTTATAACGCCTTGCGTAGGATTGACGTAGGAAGGTTGCTTACGTAGTACAAAGCACAAAAATAGGTACATACATTTTCCGCCATTTTTCGATTCACAAAACATTGCGTACCGGCGAGGGAAGTGCGTACGGAGCACTTCCTACGCCTGTTTCCCTTTATAAATCACAATCGACTCGTAACGCCCATATTTGCCTATAAATAGTCAAAGAAACGCCCATTCATTCATTCATTTTGACTGACTGCATGAAGAAGATCGCAGGAAATGACATCTAAAAAAGACATCTCACACCGTGTCAGATTTTGGTTATTGTGGGGAGGTGGAGATAAATCATATTGTTTGGTGGATGCAGTTTGAACCAGAGTAGCAGCATGGAGGTCGGATCGTCACCAAAATAAATAAATAAGTGGTCCGAAAAAAGTTAATGACAAAAAAAATACACATAACCTTCCTCAGGCAGTGTGTTTGTCCCGGGGACAGGAGACACCCCCTTGATGAGAAACTGTAAGAAATGATCGGGGAATCCCTCCGGAGTGGAGTCATGACGACTGGATCTGAATTATTTTGTTGTATTTGGTGGTTTGTGTTCCAGCTGTCGATCAGCAACTATATATCCATAATCCACCAGTTAAAGGAAATACAACTAATGGATTGTGTTATATTAGCTGTACAATTTACCATTATGGTGTTCTTAGTTTCCATACCTCCTGTGTTTTACGAGCGACTTATCAAGTCTTGGCAAACGGCATAAAACACGATTAAACGTGATAGTATATAAAACCATGCTCGTATCTACAACCTATAGAAATGCAAAACGGCGTCAGTTTAGACGTAATTCTGTCCTCCTGCTTACCGCATCATTTATGAGAAAACATTTCATAACATTAACACAACATATTCGAGGTGGTTTTAAATAGCATATCCGTATTTATTTATTTCTCCAAGTTATGTTTTTGTGTGCACTGAGGAGTCTCAAACAGGCGTTTGTTTAATCATTTAAAGATTGGCTTTAATCAATGTTTGAAAATGAATTCTTCATATTTGATAAATGAGAGGTAACATTTTATTTATGGTATTATTTCCACATATTTCTCTCCATTCTTCCTTCTGCCAACGGTGTCGCAGTTTCTCGTCTCTCCCGTTTGTGTGCTTAGTGCGTACGCATGGGTTAGAGTTTGCGTGGAGGACCGCACATTTTCACGTCAAGTTAGTATTTTATAAATCGCAAACATTGCGTAGAAACTGGCATACGCCATTTTTTGAGCATATATCCCTTTATAAATGAGGCCCCAGATCTGCACTCACCCGCTCACCTTTCACCACATTGTCACATTGTCATACTCCTATAGAGTGAATGAGTCCTAAAATAGAGAAAAGTGGTAGCATTTTACCACTTCCAGTTCCCTTAAAGGTGGGGTAGGTAAGTTTGAGAAACCGGCTCGAGATACACTTTTTGTTATATTCCATGGAATGCTCTTAACATCCCGCTAGCAATGAATATCTTAAGTGCTTTGACAAAAAATCCATACAAAAATTTCATCTGTGGAAGCCGTAGTACCTGGAAGCTACCTACCTGCCTGTCAGCCTTCCATCTGTGCACAAACTTATCTCGTGCCCTCATTGGTCATGTGCGCGTTCGTGTGTGTTGGAGGAGGGGCTCTGTAAGGAAGTGGCAGATTTCTTCCGGCTGTGTATTTTCAAATTCTGGCGCCCTCGAGCTGGTTTCTCCAAAATTACCTACCCCACCTTTAAATTAATTAAATTAATTTCTTTGAATGTGGTAGTGGTTAGTTGCCTAAAATAAGATATGTGGTTAAGACAAGCTCAACATGTTATATAAAATACGTAAATATTTGCATCTGTTGATTGCATTTATGCTCCGAAAATCATAAAAGAAATGTTAATATGTGGAGATTGTCCTGCTGAACAGAGCATGTAAGTGTCATAAAGGTTTGTTTGCCACAGAGCTTATTTCAGCAATATTCCAAAATCATATAGAAAAATCCTATTGCTTTTTGTTGAGGGATCGGACTACAAAAATGCATCATTCATGCATCACTCGATACTCCATGCCGTTCATTCTTCTTATTCTCTGTCTGTTTCAGTCTCTCAGCTTTTGTCAGGATCATTGCTCTGATATTTTATTCACCTACTCTCATTCTAGCATACTGTCTTTTTCCTCTTTTTTTATATATTGTATTCTTCACCTACAGTTTAGACCACAGTACACCCTCTCCTCTCTGTCCTCTGCAGACTGTGGCAGGCGTAGTTTCGCAGCGGACCGTATAGTTGGAGGTGTGGATGCCAGGCAGGGCGGCTGGCCTTGGCAGGTCAGACTGGAGTACGATGGAGTCCATCAGTGTGGAGGCGCCATCATCTCCAACCGCTGGATCGTCTCTGCAGCTCACTGCTTCAGAGAGTGAGTACACAAGCCTGCACTCATGCAGTAATCACATTTGATCTTTAAGCACATATTGGATCATATTTATTTTTATTCCATCCCAGGCGATATCGCACCGTTAATCGCTGGCGTGTGCTGCTGGGCTCGATCTACAGCAAACCAGTTAACGCTAACGTGGCGGAGGTGAACACCATCGTTTACCACAGCAGCTACCTGCCCTTTGTGGATGCTAGCATCGACGACAACAGTAGGGACATCGCTGTTCTTGCCCTCACACAGCCCCTCACTTTCAACGGTAGGTCACACAAGAAAACCCACTCATATTCATCATATCACTCATTGACACACTTGAGTATTTGATTGAATTATAGCTATGATCAGATATGAAGAAGAAGGTCAAAGAAATAGACAGTCAGTCATTACGGTTGTTTGCCTGCTTTATGTCCTCTGTTTCCCGGATTGCAGGATTCAAATTATCTTAAAGGTCCCCTATTATACTGTTTTACATCAATATATTATAGGTCTCAGATATATACAAAACATGTCTCTGAAGTGTTTGGCTTGAAATACCAAACAGATCGTGCATTGCAGCATCCCATAATCCCCTCTGTTTCAGCCCTGTTTCAAAAGTGCTGATTCTCTGTCTGTTACTTTAGATGAAAATAAGGAGCCACTCCCCACGCCCCTCTGAGAGATATTTGGTTAAAAAGAACACAATGGTGCTCTAGGAGGAGATACAGGTGATAAGGGGGGGGGGGGGGGGGGGTTACCTTGGGTGGTTATTGGTTAATGGTTACACAAGCCAAAAAATCGTTATGACATCATAAAGTGGGCAAAATCTGATCAGCTCATTTTCAGACAGGTTTTTATATAAATGGATCAGGACAAAAAGAGAGCAAATGTTTTTTACTGAAACTTTCAGAATCTCTTTTCACAGAGGGGACACATGTTTCTGTATAAAATACATGACAAAGTGGATTTTATATAATAGGTGACCTTTAATATATTGACAACATCTGTTATATTAGCCCTGAACAAGATGTGTCTCTATTTCTAATCCCATGACTCCTTTAATTCAATATTTACACACAGAGTCATATGTCTGTAATGTTTTTGTTTGAATAACACACTATGCGGAGGTAGAAACTACAATGATAAACTCTAAAAGCAAAATGTTTCAGTGTGCCTCGTCTGACATCTAGTGTTTGCTTTCATAATTACAACCAAAGCACAAGTTCCCCTGGAGTGAAAACAAGTCAAGGATACAGTAGCTGCTCAATGCATTGAACTGTTTCAGTGAAAACATGTGGTTTACATCTTTAAAAGCCTGTTATTTACATGCTTTGGATTATACACTATTTACTTCAGCCTAGATGGCATGATCCAATGAGAACTTCACTTACGCCGACATATGATAAAAAAAGCAAAGACATGATATTGTAATGGGAGAGAGAAGATTACAGGAAATAACCGGACAAATAGTATAAACCTAACAAATCTAGAGTTTCAGTTTGTATGGTGGTTCTTGGTCATTGGTGTCCCTGTCCTGACACATGTTGCAGTGTTTGAATCATTGTGTGCAGTATTCATATATTTCTTATATCATTTGTTTGTGTGTAGAATATGTGCAGCCTATTTGCCTGCCAGCCTATGGTCAAAGACTGGTAGACGGACAGATGGGAACAGTAACAGGCTGGGGAAATATAGATTACTATGGTGAGTCCATCCTCTGAATTAAATCTCTATGGTGTTAACTGTATGTGTTTGCATTCCTTTTCTCAATATAATCTATTTTCAATGGTGGAATTAGTTATTTAACTTCATTAAAAGTAGCCATGATACAGTGTAAAGGTACTCTGCTACACCTACAAGTACAGAATTTAAAATGTTACTTAAGTAAAAGTACAGAGAGCTAGTTTAAACTGTATACTTCAATGTATATAACTACATAGAAAAAGTCATTAATATTGCAATACTTTGAAGACCTTAACAGTAATTGACAGTATGTTTTTTTTAATGTTTTTTCTTTTTCGCAACCGCAGGTATTCAAGCAGATATTCTGCAGGAAGCGAACATCCCCATCATCAGTGACGCAGTGTGTAACGGTCCTGATTACTATGACAACCAGATCACCACCAGTATGTTCTGTGCTGGTTATGAGAAAGGAGGCACTGACGCCTGCCAGGTCAGAGTGCGTTTAATCTGCCCGCAACATTCATGCCTGTTTGAATCCAATACATATACTTTTAATACATTTTATTGCATTACTATTCACTTCAATTTCTGTAAATGCTTGCCTAAAATGGGTTGTTGTATTGTGTGTGAACTGCTGTAATGGTCTGTGTCTTCAGGGAGACAGCGGTGGCCCTCTTGTTGCAGACGACTGCTTCTCTAAGAGCAGGAGGTATCGTCTGATGGGGGTGGTGAGCTGGGGGATCGGCTGCGCCTTGGCCAAGAAACCGGGCGTCTACACCCGAGTGTCCAGATTTCTGCCCTGGATGTCTACAGCCATGAGGGTAAGAAAAGGGATTCTTTAACTGAGATAATAATTACAGTAACAGAACAGTCAGTCACTGGCATTCAGCTCATCTATAAACCAACAACGTATGGAAACACAGGCTTCACACAATATACAGTATGTAGCTCATGTTTACAGTGCATCATTTCCTCTCACACACAAAATATAGAATTTCCAATAAGGAACCAAAATGTTGCAACCAGCAAAAACACAAACAGTTATGGTCAGAGTTACAACATTTAGGATACATGTGTGCTTCAGGTTCTATACTGTCTTCTTGTGACATTATGAATGTGTTTTAACATCAGCTCTCATCTCTCTCCTTCAGAACTATAACAACACGCCGGGGCTTCACAAAATGGCCCGGACTTGAGACTCTTGCTCTTATGTTTCCACCTTTTTCTGCTCTTGAATGGAGAGCTGTGACGTTCTCCACATATCATGGTTGTTCATTCCCCTTCTTAACTAAAACGTTTTTCATATTGTGGATTCAACCTCTTCCTGAACCTAAACACAACGTAAATGCCCACCAAGACTCCTAATAAACACACAGACAGGGCTCTTTAAAAAACAAAGACTTATGGAAGTAGATTAACTTACTTTTTTAAAGGTGTTCAGACAGTTTTTATATCGATGGATCTGGACAAAAACAGAGAGAATCTTTTTTCCTGAAACTCTCCAAATCTCTTAACACAGAGGGGACACATATGTATGTATAAAATACATGAAAAAGTGAATTTTGCACAATAGGTGACCTTTAAAGGAAAGAAACTGATTAAAAATTATCGCTTTATCACAATATAAGATACCATTTTTGTAAAAAATCAATACATTGAATTCAGCCTTGTAAATGCACATTTAAAAATTATAGATGTAATAACAAGGGTTCATTAATGATGAGTTTTACATTTGTTATGTCTAGGTGTTACTCTATGCCATGTGGGACACACACACACACACACACACACACACACACACACACACACACACACACACACACACACACACACACACACACACACACACACACACACACAATGAGAGATCTAAGAAAACCATGAACTTGTGTGTTCTATTTGGTAAAATCAAAGCACACTTACAACTTTTCACATCTTTTTTATAATTAAACTCTGGTGTAATACATGTTATGTCTTTTTATATGCAGTATACTGACTTTTGTATGAAAAATTATTATTAATTCAAGATCTGTCTTCATAAAATCCCCACATGGAGTTGATGCTTCTATTGAAAACAGTATGTTGTTAATGTCTTGTAAATATTAGTAATGTTTTGTTTATGTATATGTTTATTTGAGACATGTTGCATTTGATTTACATTTCTCAAAGCCAACTGGCAGGAGTGTGTATACTCAATCATGACCAATAGTATTATATACTAAAACGCCCCCTCTGCTACTACAGTAATACTTCAAATAAACCACCAATATTACAGCAATACGATATACAATATAGATGGTGTCACTATGTCACATGCACACTTGTATGGTTGAGATTAAAGTGGCAGGGTGCTTTAAATCTTTATATTGCTTTTACATTACGTTGACCTTACACTTTAAAATAAGAGTGTTTTATTGTATTACATTGAGACACACAAAAGGACAAAAGCACTGGATTTTAGATTTGACTACACTGTGAAATGTGGATGTTTGAGATGACACACTTGATAGCACACTGAAAAGTGCACAACTGTATTTAGAAAAAAGTCTAAATTCTTATGTGGAATTCTACTATTGAATCTGAATCCACAAAGTCCAAATGACTTTCCAGAAGTTTTACATTTGATCGATGAAGTGATGCATGTACATTTATGGCCATTTTCATGTGTGAAAGAGAACATTGATATTGTTAAATGTAAATTGTAGCATTGTGTATTGTATTGAAATAAAAATAAAACAATTTGCCCATAGCCATGCTGTATTCATAAATCTTTATTACCAACTGTACAGACTTCAGTATACTTTTTAGTAACCCACAACTTAACTTAAGTATATACAAAACATTAAATAAGTGTATTTAGTAAGTATTTATGTACAAACTATAACAAAAAAGCCTTGCAAAAATATAAATAAATATATATTTATTACAAATAAATTAAAAGATGCTCTTATATCTCTTTTTAACCCTCCTGAGAGACTTGAACCTTTAAGACGCCACACGGCATCATTTCTTGATAAAGATGAACCCGGCCTAAAGGAGTGAACAGGTCAGGCCAGTGAAGCGTAGATCACAGAGTCATCATCATCACCAGCTCTGGACCTGAGGAGGATATTATGGGATGGTTAAATGATGGTGTTAGTGGACTTTAACCAAACTGCAGCACGTGGAGGTGATGCGGGGACAGCAGCCTTATAACAGCAGCACTGATGCCTTATGCCAGAACCATTCTTTTAATCATATATGAAAAAAATAAAAATTGTATAGTCATTTTACTAGAAATTCAATTGTGTTGTCATTAAGGCTGTAGAATACTATAGACATATTATATGGTGGGTTATAAGCTGGATAGTTATATTTTAAGCAAGAAAATATATTTGGACTGAGTATTTAAAATGTTGGGAAATACTGAAAACATGAATAAATACACACTATATATATTTAATTTATAGTATAATTATTTGCAAAATAACTGGGACTTTAACTTAGGGTTTTAAGATTTCTTCCAGACTGATGGGCAAGCAATATTAATCAGATTTAGAGGTCGTGTGATTGCTTGTAAAGCCAATGCAAATATGAAAATGATGTGTGCCTAACGGTGCAAATTGGCTAAATGTATACGTTTTAAATTAGAGGGAAAAGAATCCTGAATATTTTCACTGAGAAAAGTAAAATATCAAAGTTTGGGGCGAGAGGAGGGGGCGAGAGCTCACATGACGTCAGTTACTGTAAAGGCCTACAGCTGTCAACATTGGTAAGCTAAATAAAATGATAAACATCATTTGACTGTCCTATTTCGTTTTTAAATGTGTTATTTTATACAGTAAGGTGACTAAAGACTTCACATGAACTTGACGTGCTACATTGAGTATTGAGGAGCTGTGATCAGGTGGTTATTCGGACAGTTACCTGCTGTTCATGTGATGAGTGGAGTTCATGGGTTTAATGGTCACTGTGGCATAGGTCACGTCATCTTCATAAGACATGGGTGCCTGAAGGAAGAGAAGAGTCACTTCATTCAAAATCTGATCAATGTGAGCGGAGATGATATATTAAACATGCCCTATATTTACCTCTTGCTCATGGTGTGACCTCTGAGATAGAGGAGTGATCTCCTGAGCAGCAGGCGGAGGAGATGGCAGCGCCTGCTGGATGTTGGGCTGGATGTTGGCGTAAACACTGTCAGATGGATCTGAGGAGCTCGAGCCTCTCCCACTGAGCCTGAAGTCGAACACAGTCGGCTGAGAGGAGCACATTGGAAATCTGATTAGGTTTTTTGCTGAGTCATCCTTTTACTTCCCTTTATTTCTCCACTGCAGCTGCCCATTGGGAAACTACCATCATGTGCCTTGGCTCTATAATCTACTATTGCAAGTAGGAGAAGTTCAGGTTAGGACATTTCATAATAGGGAAAACCACAGGAAACTGAGCAATCTCACTTAGCACGCAGACTGAGAGCCTTTCCTTACTGTATGTCCCCATTCAAAAGTATTTGTATATGAATTTCAGTTTGAGAGGGAACTGAAATCTGACATTTTAACATCATTTTAAATTAAATGACCTGTAATACTCACTTTTTTCTCTGCATGGGTCCTCTGTTTCAGCCTACCAAGACAACAAAATTAATTAATGTGGAAAAAAACCAATGTATGTTTTTTATTTACTCTTAGATGTCATATTTTACAGAGGTTATTCTGTAAGAAAAGGAAAACAGCAGCAGCTTGTTATTTCTATAAACTGCTGCTCAATAGACAAAATGTGTTGATAATATACTGTATATCTTTTCTAATGGTCAGTTCATAATATATGGCGTACATCTGAAATAAAGGTATTTTTAAAAGATATTAATGAGACTGGCAATAACATTTTGCCCGCACTATGGAGTAGATCATAATTTAATAATATGTTGAAGCCCCTACTTAAAACATTTATATTTTGCCAACGGCAGACAAAATGAGTAAATGGTTAAAAGTGTCAGCATGTAGAAATTAGGATGACACACACAGTCCTTACACACTGTCGTACATGCAGCTATGACAACATTGGGTGAAACACATTGAAAAAAGTTACAAGAAATGTGGAAAAAGAGTATGTGAACAGCAATTATGACATGAGTAAGTCACACTCCCTCCCCCCATCCTCCCGTTACTCACCAGAACAGAAACAGAACTAACAGCAGCGCCACAGATACACACACTCCAATTCCAGCTAAGACAGGGACGGTCTGTTCGCCTGTGGAGAAACACAAAGATCTGTTAGACTACTGCACCTCTGACTGACGACACTTCAGACCCTTGAGCCTCACTAGGGAGATGTTTTGAATTTGTTGTTGATCATTTTGGCCGTTATTGTGTGTATGGCATCTATTTTTGCAAGATTTGTATTTACTTCACGTTATACAACCTCAGCTCCTAAAAAATGTCCGCATTAAAACATATTTAATCCACAAGGTGTGACACCACAGCCATTAAAGCATTTTTATCTGGAGCCCTGTATTTCATTTACCTTTACAAATTTCTACCAAATTGAACCATTTTCTTGGCCTATGTGGCAAAAACAGACACTTTTTCTGGTTTCCTGCACAAGAAAATAAAATGCACTAAAATACACTGTATATTTATGCTCACCCAGACTATAAGGAAATAGGACTATCATTTCCCCTAATGGTGGTTAATACAGAAAGTAATTTAAATATTTTCCCTCATAAAAAAACTACAGTGACATTATTATATTGATATAATCATTTCTTTATCGCAGGTTTTTGACACAGTCATTTTTGTCGTCTAAGGACATAATAGCAACTTTGTATTAAATATACACTTTTAAGCTATTTCTGGAAGAACCCAGAAGCAGTAATATATGAAGATGACACAGACCTTGATATTCTTTCCTCATGGTCAGCATCACCTCAGTTGAGTTGTTTTCCCCCAGCTGGTTCCTGGCCGTGCAGAGGTAGAGTCCGGTGTGGGACGCGTCCACAGAGGGGAGGGTCAGCAGCGGTCCAGAGCCCACCCGCAGCATGGAGCTGAGGCTGGGGCCACTCTGCCTGAACCAGGTGTAGCTGTGAGCTGCGGGGTTAGCGGCACTGCTGCAGCTCAGATTCATACTGCCGCCCTCTACAACATCCAGAGGGTCCATCGAAATGGAAATGTTTTCTGGACGGTCTGAAGAAAGTAAAAAAAAACATGTTGACAGTTTTATCCACCTTGGAGATCATTTTTAAGGCTCACTCAGCAATTTAGGGATTACAATGATAACTCAAAGGCTTAAAGAGAAACTTTGACTTGATTATTTTTCAGACTTTCCTCTTAATTTGTCTTTTTGCTGTGGAAATACTGGATGTGTTCACCTATTTAGGTCTCAAAACATACCTGAAATTGTACAATCTAAGATAGGAAACTGGTTAAAGTGTTCACTCGAGAGCATATTGAGTGCTGAGGGCAGGCTTTATTCACAAGCCTAAAAGGTCAGGAACCAATATAGCATGGCGCAGTCATTAGATTGCGATGAATCTAATCATGCATTGTCATTAGCGAACGTCATGCTTGAATCCACTATGACACCGTTTTTAGTAACACACTGACACACAGACATCTGACCCCAGCCTCCACACACTCACACAGGACGTCGAGGTGCAGCTGGGTGGAGTTGATGCGACTGATGCCGCTCCGGCTGATGTTGTTCCAGGCCTGGCAGGAGTACAGGCCGCTGTGGGGGGGCTGGATGTTGGACACGGTGTGATTCTGTCCTGAACTGATGAGGTGTCCGTCTTTGTGCAGGCTGTATCCGCTCTGGGGCACGGGGGGGTTAGCGTCACTGCTGCAGCTGAAGGTCACCGCACCTCCTTTGATGACTGAAGGAGTCATTGACAGCGTGACTTTCCTGGGAGCATCTGAGAGAGGATGAGGAGGGTCAGGCTTTTAGTGATCAGTGAATCACACATTTCATGGGAAAAAAGTCTCAGTAGCCTATGAAGTAAAATTATTTTATATTAATAGTAATTTTGTCCACTTTCATTGGTAGTTCAAACAGAGGACAAATTAGACTGACAAGAGGCCTGTACTACGAATCCAGTTCAACATACCCTGGATTTTTGAGTTACCCGGTTGACCTAATCCAGTGTTTTTCAAAGTGGGGTGCGCAGAGGCATGAGGAAAAATGGTTATTTAAAAAAAGGAATCATAATTTGAAAAAATTATTGATTAGAAAATAATATGATACAGTACAGTACAATTACGTCTGGGGCTCTGTGTGTGTGTGGAACGAGCCATTTTGTGTGTGTGCGTGCGTGCGCGAGCGAGAGAGAGAGAGAGCGCACTTGTACCGGAGATCGTTGTTGTTAGCTTCTGGTGCTAGCGAGCTACGCTAACGGATATAAGGAGCTTTTTCAACAACAAGGTGGAGGAGACTCCTGTCAGACTGAGAGGCTCAGTGAGCTAAAGGACTCTCTGAGTGTTTAGATAACTTTAGTCTAAGTTATCTCAGTGGGTCTCAAACGTTTTGGTCACGATTAATGTAAACAATTATTTCCGAGGCACACGTTTATATGATCATTATAAAAAAATAAGAGAATAAATGAAAAACAGGTATGAAATACTAGTAAAAAAAGAAGGGTGATTTGTAAAATATCCATAAAGAAAATATCGAAACAAAATTGGGCTTAACAATTACAGCGACAGGAACATTGCATATCAACTTGTGCTCTAAAATGATTATTTATATCTGAATACTTACATTGAACATTCAGAGCCAC